ACTTCAAATATGGAAAATTCACCATGTTCTTTTGGACATGGTTTAGGCATTGACTTTAGTAGTTCAAGGGCTATGTAGCTTATTATTAGAGCCCTTTACTTAGAATTTCCAGACAGCATCCAAATACAGCAGGATCAAAATTAGGGGCCAACTAGCATATCTCCTTGTGGCAAGGACAGGGCTGTTTGTCATCCCCTCAGACACGAGAGCAGGCTCTACATGGAAGCTGTGATGGGACACACAGTCGTGTATCTGGGAGCCAGTCTGTGGCAGGTCATGGAGGCTGGAGTGTTACAGAGGGCAGCTGGGCGAGTGCCTTATGATCAATGGGACAAAAGGCCTTTTAAACTTTTGCCCTGATTCAGGGCAGAGGACGTCATGGTGGTGCTCACCAGGTCAGGGAAGTTCGACCTGGTGAACTCAGGTGAGCCTGCCAAGTCACTTCTCTAAAAATACAGCCTGAGGCCTCCCAGAATAATTATCCTGGACGTAGGCATAGTGTAATCACTATTCTGTGTATATACTGTATATATACTATAAATAATACTAGACCCCTGTATTTGTAATGTGTGAAGTAATTTCTTACTGTTTCTTTCTGAATTTGGATTGCAGAGGATCATAAAAATGAGAAAGATCAAGCTGGACTTGAGCCACTGGCCCTCAGGTAATTCAGAATAGAATCTGGTAAAGGGATCAGGACTAAGGCCCAAGGAGACAAGGGTGGCTGCAATTCACAAATCAGGTGGGGTGGGGGAAAAGGGGAGGAAAATGCTGAATGTAATGAATTCATTTATTCATTATATACCTTACTGTTATTTTTAGTCACATTCTTTATCTTCTTTCGGTATAATTCCATTGGTACATTAATTCTCCAGGCTTATTAACCTAGAAACAGTCTGACCTAAGTAAAAGTGAAGTAACTAGGTCTTAAAAGTCTTCTGCACCCCCCGTGGTCTTCCCTGCTTTCTCCCATGTGTTTAACAACCAGGGTGAGCTTTTTGCAAGGTTGCCTTGTCCTGAGTTGGGTTCACAGCTAGTTTAATAGTCACCCAATTTCCTTGGGAAAAAAAGAGTTATATGATAGCATCTAGTGAAAGAGGCCCAGATAGCACAGATCCCTGGGAGACTACGGTGCCTCAGGAACCAGTTTTCAATGAGTCACTACATATAATGCGCTTGATAAAATATGGACTCAGAGTCAATTATAGTCACCAGTTTGAGCTCCCTGTGTCATGATTGTGCCTTAGACCACATAAGTGCTTCTCAAAATATCTGTGGTGAAGGACAAGGTGTTTTGTTTTTGTTTTCATTTCTAATCCATTACAGACACATACCATGATCTGTACTTCAATCAACTAGATGACTACATTTATCATCCTCTTGGATG